GTCTTAAAGGCACGTTGTCTCAAAAGGGTTAACTAGCTTCCATGGATGCGATGTTGAGAGTTCATTTAATTATATGGCTGATATGATGGAACATGAACAGTTGACTGTAGTTCTTTATACTCTGTGAACCATTCATTCTTTCTAGAAGTTGATATCTCCAACATGTGCTAATATGCATACTTCAAGTTCTTCTCTAATACCTATAAACGCTAGAGCTAAGAGCTATTAGATCCAGAGCTAAGAGGTCAAACCAGTACAATATTAGCTTTTGAAAAATTATCATCTTTTATGTTCCATATTTTTAGTGATAATGAAAACTCAAAAGTAGAAGCTGAAATAAGGTTATACCAGAGTGATATTGATATCACCAAAGAAATGCTCTACGCATCTGATGAAAGTGGAAATCAAGTCAAATGTACAATTGATAAATATTGGTCTAAAGTTTTTAATTTAAAAGATGATTTCACAAATGATTATAAGTATCCTACATTGGCTAAATTGGTCAAAGCCTGCCTTAGCTGCTTCCATGGCCCATTAGTGGAAAGTGCATTCAACTTAATGGATACACTTGTCACTGACTATAGAACCTCTCTTAAGATTGATTCCCTAGATGCAGTGCGGACTATTAAATATGATTTAATGGCTTTTAAAGAAACCTCATGTGAAAAATATGGCTAAAAAAATCCAATGACTGATCCAATTCACAAAGATCTCTTACTGAATATAAACAGAAGTTGGAAAACATATCAAGAGGACTTAAAAACATGTATTTCAGATGAGTCACCTATAAAAGTCTCTGAAAAACCTTCTACATTAGCAGGAAAGCAAAATGCTTCTACCTCTGCATGTGCAGTTCTCAAGGAAATTTCAACTGTAAATGAGGAAAATAAAAGTCAACTTTCCTGCAATTATGAAGTTCACTACAAAAGTAAGACAAGCCCACAAACATCAGAAAATTAAAAAAAAAAAAAAAGCAGCAGAAATTAAATAATTTTTTTTAAAGAATTAATTCAGGTAATTTAAGATATTTACATAAAATGTAGTAGTTTATATGTTTGAAAATTTATGGTTATTAATTTTGCAAAAAAAAGTAATTCATTGAACTTTTATAATTAGGTCATTCAATACTTCATAATTGTAATTTTTCATTTCTCTCCCCCCCTTCTCGAAAACTCCAAAATGTCGGTATTAAGTCCGTAAAAGTTTCAGGGGATTTTTTGGGGTTCCCACAAACACCCCTGTTAATCTGAATTTACAATTAATGCATTAATCTGAATTTTTTGAGATCCTGCTTTATTTTTACTCCATGATGAGTTTCAAGATTTTTGAAATGGGATCTCAATCATCTTGCAATTGTTAAGACTTCTTGATTTGTGGAGGGCAAGATCCCCAACTGATCAAAACTGATTGGGGGTTTGACTTGGAGAATGCATGCAGAATAGTATTTGCTATACATGTGTAATGTTTGTATTGGATGGTGATCATAATGATGTGGCTTCATCATATTTGCCTCTGAGAAATATTTGGAGTTTTGTTTCCTGTGAAGTTTGTATTTTGTAATTGTTACATTTTTCAGTTTTCTCAACTTAATAATTGTGTTTAAAATTTAATCATTTTGAAAACCTTTCAATCTTTTACAGTTGCACTTGCATATGGTTTCTATAGACAAGATCTGCCAGAAGATAAGCCCAAAAATGTGGTATTTGTAGATCTAGGCAACTCTGCTCTCCAAGTCACTGCTTGTGCTTTCACAAAAGGAAAGCTTAAGGTTTGTAAACTTTAATGCATATTGAATCTGTAGCAAAAAATGAGGATTTTAATTTTTTTTCACATTGAAAACTTCTTTTTATTTGCAGCTTTTATGTGTTATTTTGAATTCACTTGTAGTTATGTTTAAAAACATAATTTGCTCTTTCATCTGTGTTGGTATGATTGTGTAATGAAATTAAAAATTTGGTGTTTATCGACAATTTCTTGTTAATATTTAAAGGAGTTGATTAGGTTAATTAATGTGGAAAGTTTGTAAACTGTTAGACAGTCTCCCCCTCCAAGCTGTGGTGAATTATCTTGTTCTTGCATATAATGTGATTTTTATTTAGTGGATTAAGAAAACCTGCAAACGTTATTTTTTTATATTAAGATTTTACCCTGTTATACTTAGAGGCATTAATTGGATATTGAAAAACATGTATAACAGTAATGCTGCTTTTTAATTGCCATAACTACTTTTTGTTATTGAGGTGGTATTTATATTATGTGTTTTGCTTGTACTCATAATTTCATAAAATTAAAAGAGCTATTCATTGTGTCTTTATGCTCATTAATTTTCACGTTACTCCAGGCCATTCAGTTCCATAATTTGTTATAATTAAATCAAAACAATAGAAAAAGCTAAATTATTGTTGCAGACTTTTTAAGCAAATTTTCTGAAAAACTTCATTTGTATGAGAAAAACTTCATGTATCTGTATAAATTTTCTCTTTAAAAAACAAGGAAAACTTCCATTTTTAACTTTTTGCTGAAATTCAAAATTTTTGATTTAAGATTAATTTCTCCAAAAAATATTTTTTCAGCATAGCTTCTGTGTGTGAATCATAGTAGATCATAGTGTTGAAGGAAAGCAGTGAAGCTATGCTGAATTATTTTGTGTGCATGTACTTCACAGAATTTTCTGTGAGATAAATTAGTTTTGTCAGCTGTATTTATGTAGAAATCTGGAGGTTTTTTTTTATGCTTTTTCGGTTTCATATATATTTTGTCCAATGTTCATTTCTCAGAATAATGTGGAAGATGTTAAGAGTCATTAAGGACTAGAATTTTTTAAAACTTTTTTATGAATAAAACCCTGAGCTTTTTACATGATGCTTTATAAATAAAATGTCCGATTAACAAAAAAGGGTTTTACATTTTAGTTACATACTTTTGTATACAAAATTTGTAAAAATATTAAAAGATGAAAGGCAGAAACCAAAGTTTGTGTTTTTTGGCAAGTAACTCTATACTGCATAAAACCACAGATTAGTAATTTTGTAGCTATCTCTGCTAATGTTAATTTGGTAAATTCAAGAAAATGAAGCCTGTTTTCACCTTTTTGTGCATTTTTATTTGACATGGTCTTTTTTAACTAAAATGAAAATTGTATTTGCTTTTTTTTTACTATCTTTCTTGTTTATGGAAAGTAATAGTGTTATGTTATAAGTATCTTCCAAGTGCTCTGTGAAAGTACAATATATTAAATTCTGTATGTTAGCAGTTTACGTACCTAAACTGTCACTTATGTTTTTATTTATTTGTTTACAGATTTTGGGGAGTACATGGAATCGTACTCTTGGTGGACGAGATTTTGATAATGTATTAGTAAAACATTTTGTTAATGATTTCAATGACCGTTACAATCTAGATATCATGACTAACAAGAGAGCTGTAATGAGGCTGATGCAAGAATGTGAGAAACTGAAAAAGCAAATGAGTGCAAACTCTTTAGAGCTACCAATAAACATTGAGTGTTTTATGGATGATAAAGATGTCTCAGGAAGAATGAAACGGTGAGTAAAAAAAATTACCGGAAATATGCACATCTTAGTTTTTGACAAACTGGCTTATATATTTTGAGATGAAAATTTCAAGTGCTTTTCTCAAAAGTTACTAAACTGTTTCGAGGCGGAGACCCGTAGTAATAATTATATTTTTGGGCAGGACGAGAACCCGTCTGCTTCATCCCGCTTGCCTCTGTCTCCCCTTTCTCCACTGTTTTGCTCCTTGCGCTCAAGCTGGAGGGGCTGTGTGCTCCCCTCTTCCTCCTTCCCGCTGCTCAAGCGAATAGGCTTATGACGTCTCTGTCCCCCCTTCTGTGGTGAGAGTATCAGTCCTTTAGATTTTCCTGGATCCTCGTATGCGCCCTCCTGAACTAGTAGACATGACCCCTGGATATGCTCCTTGCCCTAGATCACCTACTCCTCTTAAACCCCGCTTGATTGACACATTTGCCCTTGACCGCCCTGGTCGACAAGCCTGGCTGAATCCGTACCAATAATTATAGCCCTAACGTGGTTCTGACACTCCCGTCATTTCTCGATCCCTCCTGCCCTGGACTGGCCTGGGCCAACCCAATACCCCCCCTGGCTCCATGGCCCTTGCTAACATTGCTTAGCTTTACCTATTGCATCGGACGCCCGTGTTTTACCAGCAGCCCTCCAGGTCGCGTTACTTCTACCCTCATCCTCGTCCTCTGCAACTGCGCCGGGCGCTACGTTCTTCCTCCGCGAGAATTGCCTCTCGTTTCTATCTGCGGGCCTTACACGACTCCACTGCTGTCCACTCCCTGTCACTGGTGTTATTTCGTCTCCTCTACTCCCCACCAATGGATTTGGCGCGCCCATGCTCCGCCTTCCTGAGGCGTCTTTCCTCTCCACAGCCCTTTCTCCGCGCTTTTTCTGCTTGGCAGTCTAATTTCCCTCCTGTTATTAAATAGGGCTACATACCACCCTTATCCTATATATCGTGTTTCTACTCGTGTTCGTACTGGTTACTAAGTGGCCTCGCTGTCGCTATGCCCAATATTTTATTACGGTTCTTTTGCCAGTTAACTACGGGTTCGCTCTTTAGCAGGCCTTCGTCATTCGTTGCCCACATATGACCTGCCCCGTTCCCTTTGTCCGCGTTTGGATGTCCTTCTGTGTTTGAGCCATGCCACGTACTGATACTATAGTGTCCATCCCCTTTCATATCCTGCCTTCCCAAATTTTAGCGCGGGGGGCGCTCATTATTGTATGCCCTCGTTCTTAGTATTTGGTTAACTAATTAGTACCCCCCCAGGCTCCTTTATTGCCTATTTTTTCTTTGTCGTCTTTTCGTGCTTCCGTGGTATTATCGTATTCTTCGTGTTTGTTGTGGATTCTGGGTTAGGTCTTGCGTTATTCCTGTGTCGTTTTTTCCTTGTACGCTTTTCTCCGCTTTCCCAGCCCCACACCCTCCCTGCTCCCCTCCTTCCCATCCCTTACTTATGTATCCTGTATCCGTATTTTCAGATTTGTTCCTCTTCTCTATTACTCCGTTGTCGCCTTCTATGTTTTCAGCTTTCACTTCACCTTTTTTTGCCCGCTTTGTTCACTTCCCTCTGTACCATCAGTCTACCCCTACAACCCCCCTACTACTCGTCCTTCTACGCCCTCTCACCTATTCCCCCCGCGTGCTCCGCATTGTCCCCCTGTCGGTTTTGTTGGGTGCCCGCGGCTTTTTGGCGGCTATACCCCCCACCTTCCTGTGTCAACTGAGCCCTTTATCACACTTTCAACATTATGGTGGTGATTGGACAGACGGTATGGGTCCGGCGCCAGTCTGCTTTTTTATAGGCCGCTCTTTGCCAATGCTTTGCCCCCCGATACAATATTGACCCAACACCATGAACAGGCCTCCTGCGCACTGGTACGGTCGTCATGGGTTTCATCCTTGCCCCGCTACCCCTTTTCGTTATTTTGGGCCCTTTGTCTGCTCCTCAACAACTGAAACCATTATGTTTCCGCCCTGCCACGGCTGAGACGACCAGTTCAAAGTAGGGTGTGCCACCACGCCTCGCGTCAGTCCCCGTCCACAAGGTTCGGCCCAGATATACCTTACGACCCTTTCCAACGCGTGTAAGCTGCTGTTAAGCGGCGTGTCCAGGAAATGAACAGATGACCATCATAGTTAGTTACCAGCTCTAATTGATCGTACCTTCCCGTCACCTCATAGGTGATTCCGCCAATGGCCGGTTTTATTTTCTTGTCATATTTTCAGTGGTTGGTTTTCATGTGCATCGAACCACCCGGCTCCCGGCACATATTGACAGTTTTGTATTTTCCCTTATGATGTGCGCAGAACATCATTCTCTGTTAGCCAGCTTAAATTTTTGCGCCCCCCTCCCGATGTGTTGTTTTTGGTCTCGGTGACACTCACCTTTTCGTTTTTCCTCCCACCATACTGGACGCGAAACCACCCCGCCGTCCCAGTCTTCTCGCTTGACTAAGGAGCTACCCTCCAGGTGGTTACGACCCCGCAATTGTCTGTTGTGGTCAGATACAGTCATTCCCTATGGCTCATCCTGTTGGCGCATGAGGTGTGTCAGCGGCTTTTAGCCGTCTGATGCCCGCTTTCTTTTCACGAGGAACTTTTTTCTTAATAGTTTAATATGGCCCCCGTCCGCCGATGCTTGCCAAATCGTCTTACTGCCCCCTTCTGTGCTTAGTGCTTCAAGTCCCCAGGCCAACCCGGAATTTGCCTGACTGTGGTTGCATCACTTCAATCCTCTACTCTACATTTCCCCCGCTTTTCGCCCCCGCAGTCTCGTCGGTGTCTTTCGAGATCCATTTTAGCTTGGTGTGTCTATTTTTTCTTTTTTGTATTACTCTCTGTGTACTATCCGCGGTGGCTTGTAGCGCTCTTTGTTCCTTGGTTGCAGACTCAGTTGCGCGTGACCGTCTTCACTCGCTGATTGTTTCGCTATCGTTTCCGTCTTCCCTTGGTTCCCCTTCTTTTCCCCCCTTTCTTCTGTACCCTGTGCCCCCCTTTGTGCCCAGTAGCCCCCTGCGTTTCGGGGGTCGCATCTCCGTCTCTTCCCGTTAACTTTTTCCCAAACACCGAAATGTCTCTTTTAGGCCCCTCTCACCCTTTCCCTCCGCCCCCATTGACTTACCTCTCTGGTGTATTATTGGGCGCTCGCTTGGAGCTTCCAAACCCACTTTGCAGCCCCCTTCCTTGTGCCCACCGCCCGGTCCTGTGCGCGCGTCCTGTCCTCCTTATTTCCCTTGCCACTCTCCTACGTGCGGGTGCGCCGTCGTGGTCGTAGTGACTCCTTCTCTCGAACGGCCAGTATGGCTGTTGTCATGTCCCAGGTCTTCTGGCCCTTTTCTTCGCCTGCTCACTCCTTCGCCCATTTCTTTCCCCGTGTGCGTGATTCAACCATCTACTCCTTCCGTTAGTGTCTGGTACGTATTCCTATCTTTTCTGTATTACATGGCTGTTTTGCTGGATGGATTGTGCCTCATTCAGGACCCATGGTTTCGGCTAGTACCGTGTTACCTTTTATCGGCGTTATTCTGTTTACCTTGTTAGTCTATTTTTGTATGACCACTTTATTCCCGTTTGCCACCGCAGTGTCTTCCCGTCTCTTCCTTCTCGCCAGCTCATCACTTTTTTCTGTCATATTGGGCTCTTGTCTTCCTCTTTGTACGCGGTTGCCCTTTTTTATGTCACAGTGTTGTTGGCGTACGCGTCAAGATTATCCGTCCCCCACGCCTTGCTCCTAATTCTTCTCTCTCGGTTTTGGTGTGTAACCACCATTCGCTTTAATTTGTATGTATACCACTCCGTCCCTCGGTGTTTGGTGTTTTTCTCCCAACGCTTTTTATGTGTGCCCTGATGACGTGCGTACTGCGCTGTTGCTGGTTACCCTTTTGATAGTAGTGTTTATATGTCACCTCTCTTTGACACCCTCTTTCGTAAAATCGGTTTGAGCGGAGCCGGCTTTGCTGTAAAACATATTGGTAGCTTGTGCTCTTGTATTGCCTTTGGGGCGCCTGGTTTCCCTTTTGTATGCCACGGCCCAAGCCGGCTTTACTTGTTTGTAATACCTGTGCTGTGCGCGGCTCGCGTTGTGCTATGTAATCACATCTACATATCATGTTTTTTTTTTTTTGCTGTGGTCCCTGACTATGGTCGTGCGGCGATGCATGTTCGTATTCTCTACCGCAGTAGACCGTCGCTTTGTTTCCCCCCTATTGGGATGGTGCTAGTCGCCAGTACGGTTGCCCTTGGATAAGCTAGCTATGACCCGACTCCTCTTGACGTTTGCACTCCGTTCATCCTTGTTCTGCTGGCATAGTCCCAGTTTCACGGTTTACAGCAGTACTAGGCACGATTCATATACCAACCCAATGTGTGTGTTAGTATATTCACTTCCCACCCACTGTCGGTATTCACTTGTATTCCAGTAGGTCATGTCTCGTGTGTATGTGTGTTGATGTATGTTTTCGTACTCCGCTTTGCCATTCTTAGGTTGTACTTTGTGTCTACTGTGCAAGTCTCGCTGACACATCGCAAATTTTGTTGAGCTTGTTTGGGCTACTGGAGGTTGCTTTGTGCGTAGTCACGGGCCGCAGTCACGGTTTGTTGCCAGTTTCGATCGCTGCTTCAGATATGGTGTGCCGTGTAGATATTTGCGATTGTCACAAAGGCGGCGAAGGTCGTTGTGTCTCGCCTCTTCGTTCTCGCCTTGTGTGTAGCTGGTCATTTTTGGTCGTTTGTTGAGTCCCGGGTATTATGGTTTCTTTATTTCCCCGGCCGTGCCTTCTCTTTTCTTTGCCGCCTTACTCTGGGCCACCATCCCTTGGGCAGCCGAAATACACTTTAGTGTTCCTATGTAATAAAACATTTGCCACCCCGCGTCCACCTCGGTCGCTCCAGGTGACACGGCTTGCTTGCCGAGGGTTCCGATGTCGCGAACCGGCCTGGTGCCCGACCTCACCGCTAGCTGGTCTTAGCTTGCTCGTTACTGCGTCAATGTCAATAA